TTTCCTGAATGAGAATACAAGAGCCCAAGGAGATGCTGGGGGTGGCAACTGGTTGGAAGAGGCTTGGAGGAATGTGGGCAGAGCACACTGCAGGTGAGAAATCTGTTGGCGTTATGTGGGTGGGAGAATAGCTCTAACCAATTGTGAGACTTGAGGGGAGGTGGGTCACATGTAGGTGCTGAACCATTACTTCCCCACTCTCCCAACCCATGAGCTCCTGCTCTAGTCAAACACAGAGCTCCTGACCCCTCCACTGCCAAACCTCTCAGACATTGTCTACAAGTTTAACCTCCTCTCCCATCACTCACCTGACCTGTGACAGGATTGGAGTACAACTAGATTAATAGCAGAATCAAAAAGTGCACAGCACATAGGAATCCTTGGGGAACCAAGGCTGAAGCTGTGGGAGCATATAAGATAGCTGCAGACAGAATGCAGGACAAGACCAAAAATTAAATTGCGGTAGCAGTAGAGCACTCATTTATTGAACACTGTCAGGTGCTGGGCCAAGGATTTACACAGCATCTCATTTGCTCCTGGCAACAACCCTGAAGCAGGCTCAATTATCATCTTAATTTTGCAGAGGAGGCAGCAAGTTGGTAAAGATTTAAACCCAGCTCTGCCTGCCTCAAAAACATTTACTCTCAGCCATTGGACTGAGAATAAAATGGGGGGCGGGGGCGGTATGGGAAGGGACAGAAGCAATGTAGCCTAAGCATCGCCCCGCCTACACACACACACACACACACACACACACACACACACACACTGCAGCTGTGTGAGGGCCAATGTATATCCTTTTGGGTCATCAGCCTTGGTTAGGCACTTAATGAATGCTTATCTACAAAATGGACCCAAGTCGACCCCCACTTCCCCATACCTCCCACAGATCCACAAGGCTCCCTGGGCTCCAGGACCGGATCTCTGCAGACCTAACCGGCTTGCTTCAGGCAAACCCGTTCTGGTCAAGCAGGACGATTAGGTGGGGTTTGGTGGGGAGGGGAGCTACCCAGCCGGGAAACCCAATGCAGCTGAATATCAAATCCGGGAGACACAGGGAGGGATGTGAGCACGCAAAACGAAGCAGCCCTGCTCCACAGCAGGCTAGACACAGGTTTCAGGGTTTCAGAATTCTTAGGATCGCAGCCCTCTTCCCAGCGAGCTCAGCTGCGCGGACGCCACCCCCTCCCCCCCCCCGCCCCGGGCTTCTAAGCGCTCTCGCGGGCGCTGCTTCTAAACTCGCGGAGACTGGAGCCGAGAAAAGGCGGGTAAAATTCCTTTTGATAAGTTATGAATGAGGAGAAAGTGTTTGTAGTACTCATTGTTAAAACCACGGAGCCTGGGACTTGGCCCGCGCCCGGCCAATGCAGGCCCGGAGGCTATTTTGAAATCGCTCCGGTTTTAGCCAATAGGCGTGCGGAAAGAGAAGCCCCGCGTTGGCTCCGGCCAATGAGCGCGGCGTTATGCTAAGAAGCCGGGGGCCGGGCCCCGCCGACTGTCAGCGGGTTAAAGATGGAGCCGGTGAGCAAGAGGGCGCCACGAGGTGCGGGGTCGTTCTGATGGGTACGAGGGGAGCGAACAACCGCTAAGACCTTTCTCCTGCTAACCTTCCGCGTCCTGGCCTGGCCTGGTTCGAAAGGTGTGTCCCGCCGCGTGAGTAGCAGGGTCCGAGGTGGAGAGCACAGGCAGGGCGGCCCTACCCGGTGGGACTGTGCGGAGGGGCGCAGCTCGGATCCCTGGCGCCTTCTCCGCAGGGGACTCCAGCAGGGCGGGACGCCCCGCCCCCCCCCCCCCGTTCTTTTGCTTCGCTCTGGGCCTCCAGGCAGAGAATCTTTAGGACTGAACACGGAGCGGAGTTGGGGACTAGGGGCCAGGGATGGGGGCGTAAGCCGACAGGGGCGCGTGGATCGGAATGGGGCCACCCTCCTTCTCTTGCAGACCTGGGTCGAGTGAGGGAGTAGGGTCATCGGGGTGTACCCACCCTCGCTCCGTGCACGAGTGGGCTTCGGACTGCGGTGGAGCACGGGCCCCTCTCCTTTGTGTGTTTACCCCCTCCCCCGTCCTCTCCCGCTCCTGGGTTGGAGCTACCCCTCAGTCTGGGGTTTCTCCCGCACCGCAGTGTGGAGAGTGCCTGGAGAAAGTCCCAGACCTTCTGACTATCTCCAGGACAGCAGCCCTGTTGAAATCCTCTTCCCCTCCCTGTGGTCTTGAACAGGGATTCTAGCCCCACCCACCCACGGTTGAGCTTCCCGCTCTGCACTTACTGGGGACCATGCGGGTCTCCCCTGCTGGCCCCAGCTGCTCTGACGAGGTTGCACTACTGTGCTTTGAGAAGCAGTGCAATGATATTGTCAAAGCATCTGGGACCAGCCTTGGGGACCCCCCCTCCCCCACACCACAACCCTCCTCAGGCCGGGCCCCTTGGGCCTGCAGGCCCTCCCCTCCCCCCACCTCCATCCCCAGCTCACTCCCTTCTCCATGGAAACTTGAGATCCTGGCCAGGCCTGGGCCTCTAGGGTCAGAGGGCACCCTTCCCCCAGGCCTCGGGGCCCCACCCCAGTGGGCCTGCATTCCAGGTCTCAGATCCTCACTGACCACCACCAGGAGAGGCGCTGGCAGGCCTGCCTGACACTCTTTCCCTGTTGCACTACTGTGGGCCGCTGGGAAGCAGTGCAATGATGAAAGGGCATCGGTCAGGCCCAGCCCACCACCCACAGTGCCTGAGGGGAGGGAGTTTTGCTGCCTCGCTCCACTTCCTAGCAGGAGCAGGTGTGGAACTGGGCTGGACCCTCCATCAGAGGATTAGGTGAGTGCAGAACTGGGGGATCATCCCACAAATTCTCCTTCTGGGATACTGCTGGACAGGAGCAGGGGCAGAGGCCCTGGGATCAGAAGAACTCTGGTTTGAAGAGGATCTTTCCACACCAACTCCCTGGGTAAGACTGGGGACTCCAGGTTTGGTCAGGGCTTTGTGGAGAAATGAAGATTCACTGTATTGCATGAAGGGTATGCCAGGGTCTGGCTCAGACCCAGCTCAACCTTGACCATGTGCAGATGAACTGCACCCAGGCCTCCCTGAGGGCTTGGGGAGGGTCAGGCTCTGGAGAGAACATTGTCCTGGGATCTTAGGAGCAGCACTATCTGGGCTGGGTAGGTGGACTTGGGATATGCAGACCACAGGTGATGCCCATCAACCATGTCAGCTTGTTTTCTTACAGGGACGTGTGCTGCCCTGAGACTGCAGAAGGGACCAAGAGATGCCTGGCATGCCCATCCTAACAGCTACAATTAAAGGAACTGTCAAAGAGCCAGGCCCCAGGCATGCTTGCAGGGCCGGCTCCACCATCAGGACCTGACACAATGCAAAAGGCTTTTCTGTGCCCAGCGACAGTTATTCAAGCCTGTCTCCTTTAAGAGGAGGCCCAGGTTTCCAGATGGGCCTTTGGGAATACCCCTCACTCCTGGCTGAGCACATCAAGATGCCAGCTTCACCCCACCCTGAGGGTAGAAGCCCAGGCATGCATGCTTGGAGGTGGCCATCCTTCTGTGTAGATTCTGTGCCCACTGCCTGGAGACTCTCATACATCTGTCTCTCGCCCTTGCTGGGGGATGTTTTTTGAACTCAGGGTTCTGCTCAAATGTTCCGTCCTAGGGGAAGCCTTTCCTGGGCTCCACAACATCCAATATTCCTCCAGCAGAGCATGTTAGATTGAAATTTCTCCTTGTGGCTGAAGTCCTCATTAGACCCTGAGGGCAGGGACAATATCCCTTTTTATATCTCTCTTGGCAGTGCCTGGCACAGAGGAGGGGACTGATACAACTAAAAAAAATACAAATAAGTACATAAAGTGTAAAGTATTATTAGCAGAACATGGGGGAAGATTAATTAGGGGTCTACTCTACCCCTCAGAGGATGCTTCTGCTGTTTATAAAAAGGCACATACTACATATTTCAAAGTAAAGTCTCATTTTAAGTTACACAGGGTCAGGAAGCAGGATGAAGATTTGAACCCAGGTGTATCTAAGTCTATTTGTCCTCCTAGGCTAGAACATTTTTCCTCCTTGGTTGTTTCCATCTTGCTCTCTGACCTCAAAGCAGGAGGAAGTGAGGGCCCGATGTTGGGGACAGCAGAGCCTAGAGGGTTGGTGGCTTGGTGGTGGGAGGTGAAAATTGTCTAGACTTATCAGGTACACTCCATGGATTGTTGGGGGTGAAGGGCGGTGGAGGTGATAGGAAGGAAGCAATCCAGGGTGCACCCCCCTGTTAGTGGTTGGGGTGGATGGTGGTGTCATCGCTGACCAAGTAGGAGAGGAGAAAAGAAGCAGGTTTGGGGTTGGGAGAGAAGAACCTATATGCCAATCTTATGTGTGCAGCATAAGATGCCCCCAAAACTTCCCCATCGGACACTTGGATGTGGTTTTGGAACTCAAGGAAGGTCTGAGCCTGAGATATAAGTTAGGGTTAGTTAAGTCAGCCCTGAGTTGGAACCTCAGAGTGGGCTAAATTGTCCAAGATGGTACCATGAAGATAGGACCTTCTTAAACCCATAAGGAGCAGCTAGATGCTGAAGAGGCAACATAAAGTATTGAGCAAAGTAACACAAAGTATTGAGTTATACAGGGGAAGAGAGAAGATAGAAGCTGGGGAGGGGTGGGTGGATTTGATGCTGGAGAGTAAATCAGGAGTGGAAGAGTGAAGTCTGGGGCAGATGAGTCAGGGGCTGAGTGAAGTCCTTAGGGTGTTGTCTACAGACCGCAAGGAGAGATGGTGAGCTGTCGGAGCAAGGAGGAGTGAGGGCCTAAAAAAGAGTTTGGGTGCGGACCATGTTCTCTGCGTGCCTTGCCCGCTCCCTCATCAAGTCTTGCGGGACCCCATCAGGACCAGGGTTCCACCGCGCGCTCGCGCGAGTATTCGCTCCGTCGAAGGCGCCAGAGCGCATGCCCAGAGCAGCGGGCATTGTCACGTGCGTCCCCCTCGCGCGAATTGGCCCCCTGCTAGAGAGCTCCAGGGGGATTGGCTAGAACGGTCGGGACGGTGGCTGCGGCTCGCGGAGAGAGGCTGCGTAGGCTCGGCGGCTGTGGGAAAGAGAGCAGGTGGGTCCCGGCCCGCCCTCGGCTACCGATCCCGGGCCCTTCGGGAGCTGCCCCTCTCTCCTGGCCCGAGGCGGGTGGGAGTCGGCGCGCCTGGAGCCTCGGTGGCCCCGCCCCGACGACCGCTCCGCCCCCAGGCCACCCGAGCCAGCCCGCAGCGCCTCTCGGATGGAGGTCCTTGACGAGTTCGACAGCGAGTTCTCCCAGAGCGTGACCTTCTGCCAGCTCATCTCCGAGGAGGACTTCGAGAGGCAGGCGGCCACCTACACGGAGCGCGCGCTGCGCCGCCTCTTTCGCAGCATCGACCGCAACCCCGCGCTGGCCGAGAGGGTGGTGCGCAAGGGCAAGCTGGCCGAGTACGAGGGGCGCGGGCTCCTCTCCTTCCTCTGGGTGCGAGTCCGCCGGCGGGGCTTCGGGGGATGGGGCGGAGCTCTGAAGACTGGAGGTTTGGAGCGGGTGTGGGGAGGGCCGTCGGGCGTAGGTGGAGCTGCAGGGTAGGGTCTTCCAGGAGGCCCAGGAGGCCCAGCGTGGGGAGTGCTGTAGGCAGCTGTGTCACCTCTCCCGCTTCTTCCTGCCCTGCCTCTCCCCTTGTTGTAGGCGAAGTTTTTCTGTGCAGTCCAGGGGGAGCTGAATTGTTGCAACAGCATGGGTGCCCTGGAAATGCACCAGCGCCTGGAACAGCTGAAGAGGAGCATCCACCGCGTGCACCTCTACTCCCAGGGTGAGGGTCAATCTCTGCCAGCACACCTGACTTAGGATCCCTGATCCCTGATCCTGTGCTTGGTACGTTTTCGATTGTTTGGTGTTTATTTTTTGAGTCTTTTTTATGAAAACGAACATAAACAAAACTGGAGACTGCAGTGAACACTCAGATACTGGTCTCCCTTCAGCTTCTGCAATTATCCCCATCTTGCCATGCTTGCTTCATCCCCCCTTTTCTTTTTCTGGAGCATTTTAGGGGAAATCTCAGACATCATTGTATTCTTCAATACTTTAGAATGCTTTTTTAGATATTAAAGACATTTTGTGGGACGCCTGGGTGGCTCAGTTGAGTGTGTCTTCCGCCCAGGTCATGATGTCATAGCTCGTGGGGTTGAGCCCCAAGTCAGGCTCTGTGCTGACAGCTCAGAGCCTGGAGCCTGCTCTGGATTGCGTGTCTCCCTCTCTCTCTGCCCCTCCCCTGCTCATGCTTTGTCTCTCAAAAATGAGTAAACATTTAAAAAAATTTTTTTTTTTATAAAAAAATTTTTTTCAACTTTTTTATTTATTTTTGGGACAGAGAGAGACAGAGCATGAACGGGGGAGGGGCAGAGAGAGAGGGAGACACAGAATCGGAAACAGGCTCCAGGCTCCGAGCCATCAGCCCAGAGCCTGACGCGGTGCTCGAACTCACGGACCGCGAGATTGTGACCTGGCTGAAGTCGGATGCCTAACCGACTGCGCCACCGAGGCACCCCCAAATTTTTTTTTAAAAGGATATTTTGTAATCACAGTGTTACCCCGGACATAATTGACAACAGTTCCATAATATTAGCTGATACTTAGGTTGGTGTTCAGCCTCTGACTTTCCATTACTAGGATGGCTATATACTTTGTGTCCATATTAGGACATTTGTAAGAGTGAAATGGAAGGGGCCACTTTAATGACCACACAGGGATGGCAAATGAGTATAGTGGCCACATCTGTTGAAACCTCTTGAGATGGGATGCCCTCACTTTTGTCCCCCCTGCCATCAACTTGAAGAACTGCATTGTCCTTTGGGGTAATCCACTTAATGGGTTTATATCTGTTGTTATGGCTCATTGGTGTTGTTTGTTTTATTCTCCTCTGCCTGTGTGTGTGTGTGTGTGTGTGTCTGTGTGTCTGTGTGTCTGTGTGTTTAAGTTTATTTATTTTGAGACAGAAACAGTGCACACAAGCAGGGAAGGGGCAGAGAAAAGGAGAGACAGACTCCTAAGCAGGCTCCCTGCTGTCAGCACAGAGCCCAATGCGGGGCTTGAACTCACAAACTGTGAGATATGACCTGAGCTGAGATCAAGAGTCTGACTCTTAACCGACTGTGCCACCCAGGCGGCCCATTCTGCCTGTATGTCTTGGACAGTCGTTCTAAAGCCTTGATTAGATTTGGGTTCAGTTCTTTCAGTGCATTTGTCTTCAGTGATAGACTACCTAGCAGTGGAGCTGCTTGCTTCATTATGTTAGGAAGCCTGGCTCACCTGGGGGTCCTACTTTCCATGATGGAAAGTGTGAGTGCTCCATGTCACCATTTCATCCCAACCCATGGCATATGTAGCTCCTACCATAGTCTCCCAAGGTAGTGTTGATCCTATTTATCCTCATTTTATGAAAGAGAGCATAGAAGCCCAGGGAGGGTAGCCAACTATGTGACAACAATGTCACATAGTAAGTAGAATCTGGAATTGAACTCAGGCTTGGGTTGCTCTGAGGCTCAGGCTCTTAGCTCTGGGTCAGTGCTCTTTGGTGGTGGTGATCATCATTCTAGATGAGCCGTTCTAATGGGTTGTATGAGGCACTTGTTCACACCCACTTTGCTGGTTTCCTATAACTCTGAACAGTAGAAATAGCCAGACTTGTTGAATATAGGAAGAAAACCTAATACAGAAAGAGGAGAGGGGGTAGGCCTGAGGGTCCTGCTTCTCAAAGATTCCCTCCCTGAGCCCACCTCTGTAAGACCTTGTACATATGGGTTTCCTTACAGAAAAAGGAGCCTTTGCACACCCTTAGGATGGCCCTGGGGCTGAGTGTAGTTGGTGAGCTTACTGTCCAGAGCCTGGATACCTCATGAAGGTGCTGGCAGACTCAGGAGCTTTCCACAGTGCTTGGGCATAGGTGGCAGACTGACTTGCCTAGGGCAAGCCAAGCCCTTGTTGGTAGTGATACTCTGTGACTTCCCCTGAAATTCTGGCCTTGGAGTCAGACAGTTGGGGTATGGATCCTGCCTGTGCCTTGTACACTTGGAGCTTACAGTTGTATCTGTAAGAGAGACAAAAATACCTTTTCCCCATGGGATAGTTATGGGCTGATGAGATGGTACATGTTGGTGCCTGTCAACAGTGGCTCTAGGCATTATCATGCGGTCCCTTTTGGGGGAGGAACCTTGTGAAGACCCTATACTACTGTTGGGCTCCCACTCTATCCTGTTCTGGCTGTGGGGTAGGCACTCACTGGTCCCTTTTGTCACAGATGCCAAGAAGAAGAGAAGAAAGCCAAAACTGAAGAAACCAGAACCCATCTTTTTGCAAGACCGGTCCACCTCCCCATGCCTGCCACCAACCGTGCTGCCACCTCCACCACTGCCATCCACTGCTACTACTGTGGCCTCCATGGTGGCCTCATCACCCTCTGTCTACACTATGCCTAGGGTCTTTGGCCCCTTCCCTCCTCTGCCCAGCAAGTCGGTCAGTGAGCGCATCCCCCACTCATGTGGTCCCAGGAAGGGCAGCCTCTGCCCCTTGCTCAGAACCACCCCAGTGGTTCTCCTGGGCCCACAGCAGTGGCTCTCAGAACTTTGTTTTTAAGTGGCAGAACTCTATCTGCAGGCACTATCTTGGGTGGAATGGTGACGGATAAAGCAGATGAAAAGGGGTCTGCTCTTGTTGAAGGGTTGGAGGCACAGAGTTTTACCTGCTGTGCTTCAGCTGAGTGAGGCAGTCCCCAAAACACTGGGCAGAATTCTGGGGTGCCCAAAGGACAGGTGGAGAACCATGGCTGCCCCCCAATGTCTCTAGCCCCACACCTGCCTCGCCTCATGGGTGGTGTTCTTGCTACTCTCTAGGTGCCTCTGCAGTGTGCCTTCCTATCTGCCTGTCCCTGCTAATCTCCCCTTATCCCGCACTCTCACTCCAGGCAGACCCCCATCCTCTGTCAGTTCCCAGCCCCCATCACATTCTCTGTTACCCTAACACCAAGTTCGAGGTGGGCACTGAGGATGACCCTGACGTATTTGTCAAATGAAGGACAGTCATGTACTTCCCCTGGTTCCTGTATAAGGTGTTTTTTTTTCTCAGCGAGGCCCCCAAACTTGTCCTAAGATTTTGTTTCTATACCGCAGATAGAGAAGTTGGAAGTTACAAGGTCTGAAGTGAAATTAAACTGGGCTGGCCTGTCATCGAACCCAAAGAGGTGGAATTTAAACTTGGGGCAAATGAAAAAAGAGTGTTTTGGGTAGCTTGTGTGCCAACACTCGGTTGCCATTTCTTCCCTACCTTGTTAATCCTCACAATAATCCTGAGGGGTTGTTATTCCCATTTAATAGGGAAGGAATCGAGGCTCGGTTCTGCTCTGTGTGCAATGAGGCTGGGAAGGGCCTGCCTGGGAGGAGCCCAGAGCTGATGTTACTCTCTCCGCTCTGTCTTGCAGCCACATGGTTGATCTGACCCCCTTGGTCCTCAACCCCAGAGGCTTCCATTTCTCGTACTTGGCTGGAAACAGTGCACATCAGCTTCATTGCCCTGGCTACCCCTGGTAAGCATGCCTTTGACACCATCCTGGCTTGCCTGGCTTGATGGCATCATGGCAGTGTGCATGAGGGCCAGAAAAACGTTCTGTATGATAGTCCTTTGCGTTTCATGAAAAGACCCTAATGTAATAGGGTGCTGGAAAAGTCACTCCCCCTTCCTAGTGTTTGTAATGGCAAGAATCAGAAACAAGCAGCTCAGAGACCCACTAGAAACAATTCTGTCGACTGTGGGCAGCCCTAAGGTTTATAGACATGTGTCTTGCAAAGCAGGGATTTACTGAATATGGTTGTTGGTTTGTTTTTTAGTCGCCTGTTTTTTCCACTTAGGGTGTTGTTAAGTATTTCCCATGTCATTCCATGGAGTGTTATTTCAAAGTATATATTTAAACTGACCACTTCACTGCTTCAGATGACATAAAAAAAAAAAATACTGTTTTTTAGAGGAGTTTTATATTCACAGCAAACTGACAAAGTACTGAGAGCTCCCCTCTACCCCCTGTCCCTACACAGGCACCCCCACTATCAACATTCCCCACCTTAAATTGATGAACCTACCATGCCACATCATTATCACCCAGAAGTCATATGTTTGGGCTCACTCTTGGTGTTGTACATTCTGTGGGTTTGGACGAATGTATAATGACATGTGTCCACCATTATAGTATCATACAGAATAGTTTCATTGTCCTCAAAATGCTCTGTGCCCCTCCCTCTCCTGTAACCCCTGACAACCACTGATCTTTTTATTGTCTCCACAGTTTTGCCTTTTCCAGAATGTCATATACTTGGAATCCTACAGTATGTGGCCTTTCCAGATTGGCTTATTTCACTTAGTAATACTCACTTTTAAATTTCCTCCATGTCTTTTCATGGCTTGATAGCTCCTTTCTTTTTAGCACTGAATAACATTCTATTGTCTGGATGTACTGTGGTTTATTTATCCATTCATCTACTGAAAGACTGATTCCAAATTCTGGTAATTATGAGTAAAGCTGCTATACACATAGATGTGCAGGTTTTTTACAGACATAAGTTTTCAACTCTTTCACCAAGGAGCATGATTGCTGATCACATGGTGATAATATGTTCAGTTTTGAAGAAACTACCAGTGTAGCTATAGCATTGTGTATTCCCACTAGCAATGAGTGAGAATTCAGATGGCTTCTTTTGTAAGAAACCTACGCAGTTCTATAAAGCTGATTCTAAATTTAGTTGATGGAAAGTTTATCCAAGATGACACCCAAAGAGTAAGCAAACCTTTAAAAATATTTTTGGCATACTTAGTAATGAAAGATGTACACATTAAGGTTGCTAGCATGTATGTTATATACCTGTCAAAAAGCCCAAAGTAGAGAATCCTGTGCTATCGAGGCTGTAGGCAGAGACTCATTTTTGCTGTGAAAATAATATAAAATGGCTTTATTCTTTTTTTTTAAATTTTTTAAAATCTTTATTTATTTTTGAGAGAGAGAGAGAGACAGAGCAAGAGCGGGGGAGGGGCAGAGAGAGAGGGAGACACAGAATCTGAAGCAGGCTCCAGGCTCTGAGCTGTCAGCACAGAGCCCAATGCGGGGCTCGAACTCACGGACCATGAGATCATGACCTGAGACAAAGTCGGACGTTTAACCGATTAAGCCACCCAGGTGCCCCTATTCTTTTTTTTTTTTTTTTAAAGATTTTATTTTTAAATAATCTCTACACCTAATGTGGGGCTCGAGCTCACAACCCAGAGATCAAGAGTTGCATTCTCCACCGACAGAGCCAGCCAGGCACCCCTGTTTTAATTCTTTTAAAAATTATTTTTTTTGGGGGGGGGTGCCTGGGTGGCTCGGTTGAGCATCTGACTCTGGCTCAGGTCATGACCTCATGGTTCATGGACTCAAGCCCCACATTGGGCTCTCCACTGTCAGCATGGAGCCCACTTTGGATCCTCTGACCCCCTCTCTGTGCCTCCCTTGCTTACATTCTCTCTCACAAATAAATACTTAAATAAATTTAAAAAAATTTTTTTAAGTTTTTTTATTTTGAGGGAGAGAGTGTGGAGGAGGGGCAGAGAGAGAGAGAGAGGGAGTGAGAAAGAGAATCCCAAGCAGGTTCTGCACTATCAACCTAGAGCCCAATGTGGGGCTCGAACCCACAAACTCTGAGATCACGACCTTAGCCTAAATCAACGTTCGGATGCTTAACTGACAGCACCCAGGTGCTCCTAAAAATTCTTTTATTGAGATAACTTACATAGTATCATATAAATTCACCCAGTTACAGTGTCAACTTAAGTGGCTTTTTGTATGTTCACATTTGTGAAGCCATCACCATAATCCAATTTTAGAACATTTCCATCATGCCAAATAGGAGAGAGTGAAAAAACAACCCATAGGAGAAAATATTTGTAAATCATCAAAATCCCATTCTAAAATTGGGCAGAGGACTTGAATAGACATTTCTTCTAAGAAGACCTACAACATGGCCAATAAACACAGGAAAAGATGCTCCACATCATTAGACATCAGGGAAATGCAAGTGAAAACCACAGTGAACTACTACTTCCCACCTACTTCCATCAAAAAGACAGACAAAAGGGGCACCTGGATGACTCAGTTGGTTAAGCTTCCAACTCTTGATTTCGGCTCAGGTGATGATCCCACAGTTCTTGGGTTTGAACCCTGAGCTGGGCTCCGTGCTGACAGTGTGGAGCCTGCTTGGGATTCATCCTCTCTCTCTCCCTCCCTCCCCCTCTCTCTCTCTCTCTCTGCCCCTCCACCCCCTCAAAATAAATAAATAAATAAACTTTAAAAAATAAAATAAATTTAAAAAGACAATGACAAGTGTTGATGAGGATGTGGAGAGATTGGAATCTCTAGTGTGTGGCTGGTGGGAATGTAAAAGGGTGTAGCCACCATGGAAAAAGGGTATGGTGGTTCCTCAAAACACTAAACAGAATTACCATATGACCCAGTAATTCCACTTGTAGGTATATGCCTGAAAGAATTGCAGTGGAGACTCAAACAGATACTTGTATATGAGTGTTCATAGCTCCAGTATTGACAGTGGCTAAAAGGAGAAAATAAGCCAGGTGTACCCAAGATGAACAAAATGTGATCTATCCATATAATAGAATGTTGAAATAAGTGAGATAAGCCAGAACAAAAGGACAGGTTATTGTCTGGTTCCCATTACATGAAGTATCTAGAGTAGGCAGAATTCTAAAGACAAAGTAGGTGAGAAGTTACCAGGGCCTGGGAGAAGGAGATGAGTTGTTGCTTAATTGGTACAGTTTCTGTTTGGGATGATGAAAAAGTCCTGGAGATAGATAATGATGATGGTCACCACAACACTGTGAATGTGTATAATGCCACTGAATGGTACACATAGTGGTTAAAATGGTAAATTTTGTGCATATTTTACTACAATAAAAAAAAAGGAAAAACTCTAGCACCACTAAGCTGTCACCCCCAGTTCTTTTCTCCCCCATCCCGAGGCAACCACTAACATTTCACTGTGGATTTGCCTATTCTGGACATTTCATATAAATGAAACCATACAATAACATGGTCTCTGGTGACTGGCTGCTTTCACTTAGGATAACGTTTACAAGGTTCATCCATGTTCTAGCATGTGTCAGTTCTGAATTTCCTGCTTTTTAAATTTCTTTTTTAAGACTTAATTTTTTTAGAGCAGTTTTAGGTTTACAACAAAATTGAGAGGAAGGTACAGAAGTTTCCTCCATGTCCCCTGCCCCCACACATGAATACCCTCCCTAATTGTCAATATCCCCCACCAGAGTGGTGCGTTTAACAACTGATGAACCTATATTGACACTTCAGCGTCACCCAAAAGTCCATAGTTTATACTGGGGTTCCTTTTTGGTGGTGTACATTCTATGGGTTGACTTTTTTTTATGGTTGAACAATATTATTCCACTGTGTAGATATGCCACATTTTATCTGTCAGTTCATCAGTTGATGGGCATTTGGGTTGTTTCCATTTTTGGCTCGTATGAATAATACTGTTATGAACATTTCTGTGCAAGTTTCTGTGAGGACATAGTTTTCAGTTTTCTTGGGCACACTCTTTATAAATATTTTTTTTATTTTTGAGAAGGATAAGAGTGTGAGCAGTGGAGGCACAGAGAGAGAGGGAGAGTCTCACGCAGGCTCCGTGTAGAGTCCAAAGTGGGGCTTGAACTCACAAAACTGTGAGGTCATGACCTGAGCCGAAATCAAGAGTTAGACGTTTAACTGGCTGAGCCACCCAGGCACCCCTTCTTTGGTATAGTCTTAAAAGTGGAATTGCTGGGTCATATGGTAAATATATTTTGAAGGACTGCCAAAGACACAAGTCTGTTATCAGACGTAGGATCTGCAAAATATTTCCTCATATTATGTGGGTTATCTTCTCTCTTTCTCTGGTCTTTTTGGATCACCAAAGTTTAAGGTTAGTCTTTTGAGAGGCAGTTTATCAAAATGTCAGGAGCCATAGACGTTCTCATATTCTTTGCTCTGGTATTTTCAATTCTGGGAGAGTTTCAATTCAAGGAGATGATTAAGGGAAAGAAAAAAGCGACTGTGTACAAAAGTGTTTATGGCAGTGTAAAAGGAGAAAAAATGGAAACAGCTTAAATGTGCATTCACAGAATTATGGAATATTATGCAGACATAAAATTATGAACATGGTTAAACCTGATTATGTAGATTCATGAACTATGTGTAAGTGGAAACAATAAGCTATCCAATCAGATCATCCTACCTCCTGGTTGGATGGAAGAGTAGGAAGGTGACTGACTGCCGAGTGATGGAGAAGGGGTTGCCGGCAATCACTTGTGCAGTGTTGTTATGATGCAAAATGTAGAAGCAAGGCATTGTTGGCATCATCAGATCCTCACAGAATTGTGGGGCCATGCACCAGGGCTGGGCCATCATCAGAACTTAAACAGCTGCAGAATGGTCTGCTGCATGGTGTCCATGGTTCCTTTAGCCATTCTTTGATGGATGTTTGATTGTTTCCAGGCTTTCATAATCACCAACATTGCTGTGATGAACAGCCTGGAACAAAACATCCATGGGAGAGCATTATGGAAGTAGAAATGTATTGAAGGCCATCCCACAGCCTTAAGTTTTGTCATGCGTACTTCTGATGGCTCTGTGTGCCGGTATCCCACCTCATGGACATGTGTTGGCTGTCTCCTGCACAGGACCTTGGCCTGTAGTGGCTCCCCCAACACCAAGGAGACACCATCCCCTCCTGTGAAGACTTCCATCTTCACCCCGCCTGTCTTGCTCAAGTTCCAGCCTGTGCCAAGACCCAAAGATGACTCTGAGAATGACCCTAGCAGCACGGAGTCTGTGCCCCACAAGAGGGGTCCGTAATCTCTTTCCTACAGACCACGGCTAGATCAATGAATAAAGTTCCCATGGAGGTGCTTTACTTGTGCTGGGCTCCCTAAAGGCTGTGCAGTCCCTTGGGCTTCGTCCTGCTGGAAGAGTTTGTCAGAATAGTGCAAGCCAGAGGCCCTTTAGTCTGAGCCTGCATACAGTAATTGTTCAGGTCAGTGCTACTGTGAAGTCCCCTTGCTTGTTCTCTAACTTGGGAATTTAGCCATGACACTTTGAAAGAGAAATGAGTGAGGAGACAGCACTGCCCTTCTCTACAGTGACTCTGTGGCCCCTTTGAGCTTCACTTGACCTCACTGAATTGCAGTTCCATCATTTTTTCCTACACCTGGGCTCTAAACTCAAGCCTTATCTGGGTGCAGGTTTAGAAACAGTGATCTGTTCCCTCCCTGGAGGAAAATAAGCTGGCATGTTAGTTTCCAACTTGGCACCTCCCTAAGGAATTTCAGAGATGTGACTCTTGTTGTTGCTTTACACACCAGCCTTAGAGTCAAACCTGCATGTGAGACATGAGCCCTCACAAAATGCTTAATGACTGCTGGACATTAGCAGATACTTGTTGAACCCTTGTGTATGCTCCACACCTTGCTTGGGACTGGAGATAATAAACCAAGCAGTTGGTGTCCCTGCTCTTAAGGAGCTTACATCCTATCCTCCTCTCTCTCTGTGTGTGTGTGTGTGTGTGTGTGTGTGTGTGTGTGTGTGTGTGTGACTGTATGTGTAACTAGTGCATCCAATTAATAACAGGGTTATAAATTGTGATGAGCCCTAAGGAAGCTGAGTTGGACATGTATGCAGTGGGTGGTCAGGGAAGATCTCTCTGAGGAGGTGACATTTATGTTGAAACTTAGAAAAACATAAGGAGGCAGCCATGAAATGAGAAAGGGCAAGGACCACTGGCTCTGGGTGACTAGATAGCGGTACAGTTGTGGCAAGGGGAGCCTATGCGGAGGGGGAGGGAGGGTGGGGGGGTGGAGAATTCTGTTTTGACCACACATGTTAAATTTGAGATCAATGGTACCTAAAATAGAGGTCAGGAATCTGGAGTGCTGGCCATTTAATGATGTGAGTCAAGAGATATGAGTGGTATTTAAAGCCACAAGCCTGGGAAAGATCACCAGGTGCTTGTGTGTAGACGGAGGCCCAGGGCTTAGGCTGGGGCACACAAACATAGTGATCTGGCCGCGGGAAGGGTCCGTAAGAGAGATGAGTGAGGGCTTTGGACTCTCGGGCTTAATGGCTACTTGCCCCTAAGCCTCCCAGGAGAGGGCTGGAGGTGGTGGGGACTGAATGGGAGAACCGGTAGACAGCGAATGTGGACGTAGGTTTGGAGACGTCTGCCGTGGAAGGAAGCAGAGATGAGACAGAGGCTGGTGAGACTTAAGGTGGACTTTTAAAAAAATCTGAGAAACCAGGTCAAACCAGGGCAGGCTTGAGCGGGGGGATGGAAAGGAGAAAAGGTCTAGAGATAGCCTTCTCTGTTCGCCCGAGGAAGTGGGGCTTCGAGGCCCCCCGGCCCCCAGCAGGCGGCAAACCCTACCACAGACTGTCCAGGTGCCCAAGGACTGGAGTGCACCGACTGGGCATGCGCACTTGGCACCAGGTGCCACTGTTCGCGCATGCCCTGCGCCCACTTCCGGGGCGGGTCTGCGGGACCCGGAAGTCGTTAGGGAACTCGGTCGAGAAGTCGGCTTCTAAATCGTTTGCTGTCGTTTTTCCTCACTCGCTGGTCCTGGCACTGCTACCGCTCCCGCCGCCATGGGGAAACGGCAGCATCAGAAGGACAAGATGTAAGTTGAACCGCAGCCGGAAGCGCGGCCCCGCTCGGCCTCAGTGCCCACCTGTCCCGCAGTCCGCGCCGCCCTTCTTCCCTCTCTCAGAGCTGGTTCCCAGAGCCACTCTTAAATGCCGTTTCGTCTCGGAAGCCTTTGTCTCCTCCAAGGCAGGGGAATTACCCCGACCGCCGAGGTCTCCCGGGTTTCTTGGTACTAACACCGTCAGTGCTTCTGAGCGCGGCCTTCCTACCGCGTCGGCGCCGTGCGAGCCCCGGCCCCTCGGCTCCTCGGCTCCTCGGCTCCTCGGCTCCTCGGCTCCTCGGCTCCTCGGCTCCTCGGCTTTTGCCCTGGAACGCCCCATCTCCACTCTCGATTTCTGCCCCTAATCAGCCCCTCTTTCTCCTCCACCTCCACCTGTGTGCCGTTCATTGGCTTACACACATCCGGAATCTTCCATTTTAAAACAAACCAGCCTTGCCCCGTGCTCCTCTCCTGCCACCGTGGTTTTTTTTTTTCTTTCTTCCGAACAAGGCGTCAAAGACCTGTGTCTACTTGCTGTTTTCTGCTGTTTCTTGAAACCGCTCCAGTCAGGCTTTTCTCCCCAGCACTATTCCTGTCAGGATCCTAGTAACTTCTCTGTTGCTAAATCTAGTGGTCAATTCCCAGTTCTCGTTTTGTTGGGCTTGTCAATAGCGTGTGACACGGTTGACCACCTTGCTCCCTCTGAGGCCCTTCTTTGATATCTGAGACCCCATATGCCCTTTTCCATTTGTTTTCCATCTGTCTCAATGGCCTCTCTCAGTCTCCTTTGCTGGGTCTTTCTCCCACTCTCTCAGACTTCATACGTCCATGTCCCCCACGTTTCTTCTCCCTTTACATTCTCCCTGGTCATCTCTCATCTTGCAGTGGTCACCTGCTTACTTGATATCTCCAGTTGGAGGTTTGATAGACATCTCACATTTACTTACAAAAAATTTTTTTAATGTTTTTATTTATTTTTAAGACAGTGAGAGAGAGACAGAGCACCAGTGGGAGAGGGGCAGAGAGAGAGGGAGTCACAGACTCTGAAGCAGGCTCCAGGCTCAGAGCTGTCAGCACAGAGCCCGATGTGGGGCTCCAACTCACAAACCGGGAGAGATCGTGACCTGAGCTGAAGTCAGAGACTCAAACGACTGAGCCACCTAGGTGTCCCGACATCTCACATTTAATATGTTCCCCCCTCATTTTCCCTATCTCAGTGGTCATACTGCTTGCTACTTAGTTTACACAGGTCAGAAGTCTGGGGGTTAGCGTTGGTGCCTCTTTCCTGAGGCTCTCTCCTCCCCCTGTTCATCAGTAAATCCTGTGGCTCATCCAGGAAGTAAATGTGGAATAGGAAGGCACTCACTAATCCACCAAACCCCTCAGTAGGTGGAGTGTATTTCATTTCCTTTGACATTTTTATTTTTTTTATTTATTTTTTATTAAAAAAAAATTTTTTTTAATGTTTATTTATTTTTGAGACAGAGAGAGACAGAGCATGAACAGGGGAGGAGCAGAGAGCGAGGGAGACACGGAAGCAGGCTCCAGGCTCTGAGCCATCAGCCCAGAGCCCGACGTGGGGCTCGAACTCATGGGCTGCGAGATCGTGACCTGAGCTGAAGTCGGACGCTTAACCGACTGAGCCACCCAGGCGCCCCTATTTTTTTATTTTTTATTTTTATTAAAAAAAGTTTTTTTTTAACATTTATTTATTTTTGATACAGAGACAGAGCATGAACGTGGGGGGGGCGTGTTGGTCAGAGAGAGAGGGAGACAGAGAATCTGAAACAGGCTTCAGGCTCTGAGCAGTCAGCACAGAGCCCGACACGGGGCTCAAACTCACGGACAGTGAGATTGTGACCTGAGCCGAAGTCGGACACTTAACCGACTGAGCCACCCAGGCACCCCTCCTTTGACATTTTTAGATGCCTCCTGATTGGTTTTCTGTTGCCTCTCTTGCTTGTCCCTCTATACACAGCTGCCAGAGTGATGCTTTGAGGACTTATGTTAGAGCATGTCAGGGCCCTACTCAGAACCCTCCAGCCGCTTTCCATACCGCTTAAAGTAGATCCACAGCCATCACACAGCTTGTGGGGCCCCTCGTGATCCAACTGCTAGCCTTCTTCACCTGCTGCCACATGCCCCCGTGCACACTCTTCTTCAGTGACTTCACCCTTTTCTGAAGACACACCAGCTTTTTCTGTGTCAGGACGTTTATATGGGATAAGCTTGCTTGGTCTCTCTGCCTAGAAAGCTCTTCCTGCACATCTTCACATGGCTTGCTCCTTTGTATCATCAAGCCTTCTGTTAAATTCTGTTCATTTCCTTCAGAGCAGAGCAGGAATGTTTGTATTTGCTTACTAGTTTGTGTATGTCTGTGTTGCATCTCACACATTATAGGTGTTTAATAAGCATTTGCTGAATGAGTGAAATGATTTAATCATCAGTTACTTCTAGAGACTGTCCTCTTTATAAAGGGGGGTGGTAATAAGATTCTCTGTCTCTTCTTCAGGTACATTACCTGTGCTGAATACACTCACTTCTATGGTGGCAAGAAACCAGGTAAGGCATGAAATCTTTCTGTTTTCCTTGATGTGGGTGTGGGTGTGTGTGTGTGTGTGTGTGTGTGTGTGTGTGTGGCGGGGCGGGGGGTGGGTGTTGTAATTAAGGGATGATGTTTTTACTACACAATGAGACTATAAAAATTAACAATGAACAAGAACACAAAGTGTAGCAGACAAATGGGTTGAGAACACAGATGATTCACAAAACAAGATGAAATAAAAAGAGCACATTCTCATAATTGTTGACCGGGGTAAAACCAGCACAGGATTCTTGGAAAGCAAAGCCAGGCCCCACAGCAAGGGTATTAGGATTATGGGAGAAACCCAACCCCAGCGGCTTACGCAAGTATGTCATTTTTTCTCTAAGTTCTTTCTTGATGTAATCCATGTGTCCTACCTATTGAAAGGTTTTTAATCCACAGCAGTTTTTGCACTAGGTAATTCACATGAACTTTTCCTTAATTAATTAATTAATTAATTTATTTATTTATTTATTTTTTTTTTTTCAACGTTTATTTATTTTTGGGACAGAGAGAGACAGAGCATGAACGGGGGAGGGGCAGAGAGAGAGGGAGACACAGAATCGGAAACAGGCTCCAGGCTCCGAGCCGTCAGCCCAGAGCCCGACGCGGGCTCGAACTCACGGACCGCGAGATCGTGACCTGGCTGAAGTCAGACGC